TTGATAGGGATTTCATTTTAGGCAACACATTAAATCCAACCCGTGGCATGTTCGGGTGTCATCATTTCTTTTTATTTCACCCAACCCGATATATAAAACCTATAAAAGGATTTTGAATCCTAACTGTTCCTACTTTTCACTTTATCTATCGTCTTCCTTAGAGCTTTCTCTATACTCTGTTCTTTGACTCATTCAAGCACTCATCAATGACGATCTTAAAGAAAGACGAGAAGCCGTTCCTCTCAATTCTGATATCAAATAGGAATATCTTTCTTTTAAGGCCATTAGAACTTATAGGCTTCCGGACGAATCTGATTTCGGACCTATTCGTCACTTGGCACATCATATGTTAGTAGCAGTTCCATCTGACTCAATCTATATCAAACACCATCTTGAGAATTCGGTTGTGTATGACCCCACACAATCTGCCCTAGTCTTGGATAAGCAGCCTTTGGATGTGAACAAACTAGTTTCTACTGGTGGCCGCAAGAAGAAAATGACTAAACGAAAAACATCACCCTTAAAAGTTCAAGCTAAAAAGAGTACTAAAGTTAGGGGTTCCTCTCAAAAGGAAACATATATTAAAATTCGATCTGACTTTGGATTACTGCTAACCCCTTCTGTCCACTCATCCGAAGTACCCTTCGAAGTTTCAATATAACAGGTACACACTCATGGGGAGTCAACACACAATCTACCCACATCTTCCCAAAATGATGGTGCCTGTATTGAACATAGTCCCTTAAAATCCCCTTGTACACACCGACGAGTCATTTTGGAAATCCCTCTCAGTTCTTCACTTGTACAATCAGGAACCCGTACTTCTTATTATAAGCTTTCGGAAGCTAGATGTAACTTCCTGATGATGAGATTATTATAATTTTGACCTTATGATTTATTTATATTGCAATATTAACCCTAAGTATAAGAAAGAGTGCAATAAAGGCCCTAGTGGCATTTTTGTAATTTTGGGTTTGGGAGAGTACACCATGCGTACGTGTGTACGCGGAGCGTACTAGGGCGTGCGTAGTATGCTGCATGTACATTTGTATGTAGGGCATACATACCATCCATGCAAACACTAATTTTTAGGGTTGGTTGATATTCAAACCCCATTATAGCCTTATTTCCCCACACCGCATCAGCCTCCATCCTCTTGGAACGTTCTTGCAAACCTAATCCATCTTGTGAAGCATTTCTAAACTTGAGTGTGGGTGTTTTGTGCTTTTGAAGAAGATGGAAAGGAGTGGAGACCATCTTAGAGGAGTGAAGCTCTTTAGATCCACAATCTCACCACCTTTTAGCATCATTTGGAGGTATAAAGTTCTAAACTTGGTGAAGTTTCATTTAGATCTAGTGTTGGGTTGGTTTTTGGTTCCTTTTGTCCCAATTATGGTGATTCATGAACAGAGCATGTTCTTGACCCATTAAGCTGTCATTTCAGAACTTAGGATGGGTCTTAAGTCATAAAAATGGGTTCTAAGTGGTTGGTTTTGCTCCATGCATCATTTATAGGGTCTTAATGGGTTAATATGTAGAGTTAAGCTCTTAATGGACATATAAAGTCATAAATTTCGAATCTGTATGACCCTAGAGGGTATTTTTGCCTTGGATCTAAAAGTTGTATGTAAGGGCTTATGAAATTAAGAATTTAATAAAGTTTAGGAGATCTGGGTGTATGCCCTGTGTAATTTGAGTACTCAACACGTACAAAGCCCCCGATGGCAGTCAACAATGGAGTACACCTTACATACCCTAGGACTATTCCCCACGTACATCTTCTGTGTTAACTTGGCTGAGTTGACTCGATTGGGTTGACCCGGCTGGGTTGACTCAGTTGACTTATGGACTTTTTACCAGTTTAGCCTTGGACCTTGACTTTTGTTGACTCCATTGACTTTTGACTAAGTTTGACTTTATGTCAAACTTGAAAGTTTGGATTGGTGATTAGGATTTTTTATAGTTTCGATTTTAGTGTATTCGTTAAAGCAAGTAGTGTAGTAAGGATCAAATCGCGCTATTTTGGGTTTCTTCTATTTTAGGTGAATTTCACCTCATTGTACCGTGGGTCGAAGGAAACAATGACAGCCCACTAGTTTTCGGTTATTTGTTAGTAGAGGGATGTCATAGGGACTGTATATCATCACGAAGGATAGACTAAGGACTCTTGATCTAGGCTCTCTTACCTATTCCTTGTTTGGTTGTGGTTCTAGGGTCGCGTCATCTGTCCGGATGACTAACTCAACACTGATTATATACGGTCAAACATTTCTTAGATTGTTGCTACTTAGTATGACACAATGTTCTAATGATCAGTTAGGTATGTATTCTAGTGTAGAGTATGATGATAAACTGTGGTGACCTGTTAGATCTATATTATGGTATGGAGTATGCTGATATGTTGTGGTGATCTGTTAGATCTGTATTCTGGTGTCGAGTATGTTGCCCTGATGTAGTTATTTGCTACATTTATATTATGGTATTGAATATATTCTTATGCTGTAGTGATCTGTTAGATCGGTATCTTGGTATGTAGGATGTAGCTATGCTATGGTGCATTGTTAGATCTGTATGTTATATATAGTTACTGGTTATCATCATGTGGATTGCCTTAGGGACTATCCGTGGTTATGTAGGATAGCTTGAGAAATCTTGGTCTAGGCTCTCTTGCCTGTTCCTTGTTTGGTTGTGGCTCTAGGGTATGATCACATGTTCGAGTGGCTATTTCACCTCTGGCTACTTATGGCTATGCCTTTCATGGAAGTTAATTGGTAGTGGGATTGTGTGCTGTCAGAGGACTAGTAGGCAGAAGTGAGCTGTATGATTGTTGTTTTCCTATTTTATGTGCCTAATTGATCCTTGTTTGTTTAAATGTTGACATGTGGTGGTGGTGGGTTGAGGCACTCCTGCTTTATACTGTAGGCCAAGATACCCTGTGCAGGATAGCTATAAGCTGAAGGCACGGACGCTTGGGAAGAGAGGTTGGGTTGAGGCAGTAGGCTAATCAACCTTGGTATTCTGGTCTAGATAGACTAAAGGCTTGCAAGGCGGTCCACTCAGGCTGAAGGCCGAAGAAAGGCAGTTATGCATGCTTGTATGTTCAGCGTGTGGGGTATTTTGGGGGAAACTCACTAAGCTTTATGCTTACCTACTTGTTTATGGTTTTAGGTATTATTGTTAATTGCGAGAAGGAAAAGGCGGGACTATACATACCCATCAGCAACATTGAAGCTTCCGTGTTTTCTATGATACTCTAATTCTTAATAAATATAATTTGGAATAAAAGGTTTCTTAAATAATGGATTAATAAATTGGAAAATTTTACTTTAATAAAAATGAAAATTTTAGTTGTGAAAATGGGATGTTATACTGGAGTTGTCCCTGCTACATGTAGATCCCCAAATGGTTTGATACCTTGTTCAGGTAAGGGACGACCAAGTATGTCTGATAATGATTGGTCTGATTTTGTAGATAGGGCTCATACACGTCATCTGGAGCTAACAAGAGCTCAAGTGGAGTATATGCTTATCTTAATGCATTCCATAACTATTCTAAGCAATCTGCCAATCACTTTTCCAACAAATGCACAAATTGATCAAGAGTTCACCTCTTCAAAAGAAGCTCAAAAAACTGCTACAGGAGATGTTCCCTATTCAAAAAAAAATTTGGTTGGTCCTCCTCTGATATTTACAAGCGAACAAACTCCCAAGCCTCCTCCAACGGACAACATTCTGATGATGTCATGTTTGATGATGACAACACATTTGTTGGTGCTATTCCGATCCTCACAACTTTCAAATCATTATAGAGTCCCTCCTCTTCCAAACCATCATATGATTTTGACATTTTTTCCTCAGAAGAAGAGGAATAAGATGAAATAAATGTTCATACCAACACTCTAGGAAATCAAGGCAATGAAACCGAAACTAATCCAACTGATAATCCCTAGCATACTGAACCACAAGATGATAATGATAGTGATGACAATAACAAAAAGTCAGAGAGTTCTACCTCAAACACAAGATCTTTTGATGAAAATATTGCTAGTTTTGTTTCCAATGTTGACTCACTCAACAAGTCTATAGCTAAACTTGACTCCAAGATCGATCAGAAGGTTACCGGCCTCGATACCATGCTCGAACTCATTCTTCAATCTCTCACCGAAATCAAAGAAGCTAGCCCCTCAGAACTTGATCGAGCAAATCAAATCGACCAACTCATTTTTATATGATTCAAGCACACTCTGGAAGAAGCTGAATAGAAATACAATGATATCCTTGATCATCATATCTCCACCACCACTATGCTTAAGATTCATGAAGACATGATCAGTGCGACCAATGAACTGATCAAAACAAACACATGTTTGTCATGAAAAGCAAATCTAAAGGGTTAAGGAGGATATTCGGAAAAAGTACGAGCAAAATTTGATTATGCAACAGGTCCTTATTAATAGAACTAATATGATCGATAGATTCTATATTACGAAACTAAAATAATGAAATGGAACAATGATGATTAAACAAAAGATGAACTCCATTAATCTCAACAATAGAAAAGTTCGTAAGGAGGAACTATTCTTTCTAACTGGACAAATTGTTACAAAAGTTGCTACATAAAAGGAAAAATACAGGCTATTTAAAGACTAAAAAGATAACAATTCCGAAAATGGAAATGCCCCATTTCGGAATCGGAGCAATATTAAATTCCAAAACATCTTATTTGACACAATGCAAAATAATACTTAACAATCTACCCCTTTGTGTCAAATCGGAAGGAGGTCTTATTTATGGCATTTGAGCGTTAAAAATCTTCGGCATGATCTTCACAAGGGATGTCCGAATAGATATATACCAATGAATCATATTCGAAACACATTTGACATTCGTGGCTGAGTTGGTCCTGTTTGTTACGATCCTTGTAAGAATGGAGTTCAGAGTACTTGTAAAATACAAATGCTTATCCCTCAAAAACAACATGCAATTCTTAATTTCATCACCCTACTTCATTGTGTAGATGATAATCCAGTGCTTTTCACCAATAAGACATCCTTTTAAATGTTGGATGTTTTCCGATTGGTTAAAGGACTTCAAAATTGGTCTCTTTTTCAGAACAGAAGCTATTTCAACATCCATTTTTGCAATTTCCAGAATGTAACAATTAATCATTCGCTTCAAGTGTTCATATATGGTCTCATACTTCTTCACATTCTTCGCAACAATGTAAAACAGCGAGATCCAATCATAAGAGTTCATGAATGGCATATTAGCCAAATTGAATTCATGAAGAACATGATTGGCACCTTGGAAACATTTGAATTGTACATTCAGAAATTCTTCTATTTGAACTGGCAAGCCAACCTTCAAATCCATATTTTTTTAAGGCTCCATGACTCGTATTGCAGTTTTGAATACTTCAAATAAAACCTGAATAGCTTTTGGCTTACAGTACTGTTGGAGAACAAGGATTTCTCAATCTTTTCAACTCATCTAAAAAGAAACACCCTTGGAGTGATGGGTAAATCCAACTAACAATCTACATCATTATTAGTGTAAAAGGATGTTGTTGGTTCCAACTAATAGAGATTAGGATCATCAATCACTTCATTCTATATTCGCTCAAGAGTCCAAGCTGGAATTAAGAATTTCTGATTTTCAAGAATCAATTTGGAATTTTTGACTTCAGCATCAAGTTTTTTCCCGAGGGCATTAAGTTCATCAAGCCCTTTATCCCTTTTCTCTCTTGCTATTCTTTCGGATTCCATCATCATTGGGTCCTCTTTAGAATCCTCATCAGCTTTTCCTTTTCCTTTTCCTTTTCCTTTTCTTGATCCAGAAGATACATTACCCTTCCGATCAGACACATCTTTTAAATTTTCATCTATGTCTCCCCTTGTTTCAAAGAAGCCTTGCTTCCCGACACACCCTGAATTTGATTCAACATTGCAAACACAGGTTTGAGCTTTTCTGAGAGAGTTTGATGTACTAAGACAAAGAATGGAGCATCTAGAGACTCAGAGATGTGCAATAGTCATCGGTTGATTTCAGAATTGTGACCTTTAAATAAACGATTTTCTTCTTCGAGCTTGGTAATATTAAGTGGTGCATTTTCCAGCTTTTCTTGAAGAACTTCCGTTTTCTAAGTTTGCTCAGCCAAAGCATGCATAATTTTGTTCCCTACGGCTAAGTCATTTTGTAATTGTGATCTTTCTAGAAATGGAGGAATTAAGTTCAGCATCAGCATTCTGAATATTTCAGCATAAAGATGAGAGAACTTCTTTTTCTGCTTGTAATGAAGTCCAAAATCCTTCTATGACTTTATTCATGCCAACTGCATCTTTTCCAGAAGAATCCAGTCATGAACTCCTTGACTTCTTGTTGCAATTTCTGGATCGTTTCTGTATCTTCTGAGATTTTCTATTTGGAAGCTTGATTTGCCTTGGTTGTTTCTTCAAGCACTTTAGCATTGGTTGATGTAATCATTTCCATAGTGGCTTTATATGTTGTCAACATATATTCCCATATGGATGAAGAAAAGGCGTTAGAATACTCCAAAATGGAATAAAGATTTTCATTTACTTGCTTGAACTGGCCTTTCGTCATTGGAGCTTTGTCATCATCACTGTTGATATTGACAGTGAATGGATGGAATACAAAATTGGCAATTGGTTCTTGATCATCTCCAAGCATGATTTCATCATCATCACCATCATCAAAAGTAGGATCAAAAGAAGAAGGTTGTTTAGATGTCACACCAATATTGGCATTTGGCCCCACCTCAGATGTGTTGTCAGTGATTCCAAAAGTCCTAATCTCCACCGAAATGAATTTTATAATGGGATCTTCTGGTTAAGTGGATATAGTTGATGTTGTAGGTATGGTGGAGTCTGTGAAGATTAGTGAGGATATTGGGATCAAAACAGGAGGAATAAATGTTTCAACATAACTCATTTGTGGTAGAGTAGGGATGGATGATATCAGAATAGATGAGGTGATTGGTGAAGTTGTAATTTTGGATATTGGTAGATTGACTGGTGGTGGGGGTGGTGAAGTGGTCAGATTCAGAAAAGTAATCTGCGTGATATTTTAAAAAATATAAAGTTCTGGAGTTGAAGACGTCACACCCCAAAACCGATAACGGCGGAATACGTTTCGGGGTGGAGGACGTAGTGTACGGTATCATCACAATTGCATAATAGTAAAAGCAAGAAACATACAACCATTTCATTTACATAGTGAGTATATTTACAAGTGTGTTTTGTAATGTTCAACAAACACCAAAAGTAAACAAAAATAAGAGATGGGACTTGCATGCTCCATCTTCTCCAAAAATGCTGCAGTCGTACCTGTCTATCTTTGACCTGAAGATACAAGTTATTTTGAAAAGAATATCAGCATAAAGCTGGTGAGTTCATAAGAGTTTAGTGTGAGTTCTTATATAAAAAGCATTAGAATCGTTAGTATGAAAGCTGAAGTTTATAGTCATAAGTAGTAGTAAAACCTAGAAAATCCTATTTTTTCATAAATGTATAGTAAGTGAAAACCTTTAAGAAATATGACATTTTCATCTTTGAAAACCATTTATCGTGGAAGTATAATAGTGACTCACCAATAAGTAAAGCAATATAGTAAGTTATACCTGAAGTAAATAATAGTGGTGCAGCTTCCTTTAGTATTAAATACTTATTTACTTCGGGATATTAACTTTATCTATTGTTTAGTGTTTTAGTGCGGTTATAGTGTATTTCTTGTATGTTGCCAATAGTGTGAGTACTAGCGGACCCCCATGACCTTCCCGGTCATGTATAGTGTAGTGGAGTAAAGGCATCCCTGGACCTGTATGGCTCGGACTGAAATTATCAGTCGGGATGTAATAGCGTCTGCCCCGTATAGATCTATACATATAGTGTCGTCTTCCTATCGGAAGACTTCGGGCGTAGTATGTAGCGAATAGAGTATCTCGTAGTGGGTAAATGAGTTATCTCATGGTTAGTACTTTCTCTTGTATTATAGTGGAGTAATCTTTTGTATAACTCGTATTGTATTCTCTTATTAGTGTATAGTTTCATAATAGAGAGAATTATAGTAGTGTAGAGTAGTAGTTAAAACGAGGGATAGAGACCTTAACTATACCTATTATAGTTAACTTAGTGTGTGTGGTTCTAGTCAGGTTAGTGATTTAGGCATCTAATGAAATAAGAAGTACTCATAATCCGTACTAATATACGAGATATATAACTAAGAAATCAATGACAGTCGGACGGATAACCACTACCCTAAGCCCACAATCAAACAAGAACAGGAAATAAGGCGAGATATCGGTCCTAAGTCCTTCAAGTCTTACTTATATAAATATATTAGTGTGGTTACTTTTTATAAGGAGATTTATTAAATAAAAGTATTGTACAAAAGAAACATTTAAAACTGTTTGTTTATCCAAAATAGTTTTGAAAACAAATGATTGATTTATAAGGCATAGTGATAAATCACACGTGATTTGAACTATAGGTAGTGAATCACATGTGATTAATTCTGTAACATGATTGACTGCCTTGTATAACTTTTCATAAACATGTATATTCAACATGTATCTCCCCCTAAAACATATAAAACATTTGAAAGGTTCATTAATGGGGTATGAACCCACCTGAAATCGCGTAAATCGGGTGAATCGGGTAAAAGTGTCGCTTGAGCGTTTTGTTCCAAATAGTGACTTGTGCACCCTTTAGGACCCAAATGTCATATGAAAATATGTGTTTTTACAAGAAATTAATCATTTTATGCTTTCCATTTAAGTAATTAGGCATTTTAGCATCAATTCGGGGTTTTAGGGCCTAGACGGGGTTCCCAGGAGTGGTATAAGGCTAAGAAAGATTTACGGGAGGGTCCATGATTTCACTCCCTTGGAGTTTACGGCCCAAAGGCCACTCTTTGGGAGTTTACGGCCGTAATCCCCCTAGGCTTGGCTGTAAACTCATGTGGTCTTCCAAAATGCAAGTTTAAGGCCTTATTTCACTTCCTTAATTTAATGGTATGTGTCTTGAACTAATATGGAGGGATTAAACCCTCATTTTGTGACATTTTGGGGAGTTTACAGCCAAGACTTGTGCTTGGGCCGTAAACTCCATTTAATCCCTCAAAATGGATGTTTAAATGGTACAACACACTCCCCTTCACCTTAGGTAAATTCTAGAAGGCCTTAGATGGAGTTTTGGGACATTTTGGCATAAGAATTGGGGAGTTTATAGCCCAAGAGTATCCTTGGCCATAAACTCTTCTTTTGGCCTAAAAATGAGAAGTTTAAAGGTACAACACACTTCCTAGGGCCTTAGCTAAATTCCGTACATGCCTTAGATTAGTTTTTGGGACTTGTTTGACATAAAATTTGGGTGTTTACGGCCCAAGCTTAGACTTGGCCGTAAACTCCTCTTTTTGTCTTCAAATGGTGTTGTTTAATGCACTTAAACATTTCCTAGTGCCAAGACTAAATTACTAAACACCCTAGATGAGTTTTTTGGGGCTTTTAACAAGGGTTTTTGGGGTGTTTACGACCTAAGCATAAGCTTGGGCCGTGAACTCCTTTTTAAGCTTCAAACTCTTGTGTTTTAATGTCCAAACTCTCCTAGGTATATCCCTTAGTTAGTACATAAACTTAAAGGAAGGAAAAATGAGGCTTTTGTCAAGTTTTTAGGTGTTTACGGCCTAAGGGGCTTCTTAGGCCGTAAACTCCTTTTTGGTCCTTGTTTTATATGATTTTTGGCCTCTAAATACAATGAAGTATGTTTAGAATAAGATAGGGAATGAGTCCTTACGTTTGGAAGCCGGAATTTGCGGATTTGGGGTCGGTTTCGGGTCTACAGAGAGCAAGTAGTGAGAGAGAGTGAAGGTGTGGTAAAAGAGTTCAATTGTAGTGTCCATTTGTTTATATATGTCTCGGGTATTGCACCCGATACACGGCTATCCGATGCTAAAGTTTAACGGGGTTAAAACTTTTTACCCGGGTGAAGTGGTTGAAAAGTAATATAACTCTATTTAGTTAAACGGGGTTAACATTTACAAGTTATAATTACTTATGATAATATCGGAACATATAAATAACTAGATATTTGTTTATTGACGACTCCAAACATTACCGAAAATAACATATAGTGACACATTCTGTTAGTGAAAATAGGGTTTGTAACAGCAATATATTTGGGGTTGTCACATCATCCCCCCGTTAGGGAATTTCGTCCCGAAATTTAGAATTCATACAGATAAGAATTACAGTACTACTACACGAAGAGATGGGGGTATTTGAGTTTCATTTGGTCTTCGCGCTCCCAAGTGAATTCCGGTCCTCGTTTGGCGTTCCACCGAACTTTCACAATTGG